CTCTGTCCTATAAAGACTTATTCCACTACTTTACAAAGTCTCTATATTCTGAATCACCTTAGAGAATACTTCCTCACCTTTCTGATCCTATCCAGAATCTGGCTCCATCTAGAGGAAAGTGCATGCACTACAGCACTATCAGCACTTGAGATCAGAATTTTCCTAAATCCCACTGCTACTTCTAATAACACATCTTGCATGCAAAAAACCCCTTCTTCATGAAGGATGAGATCCTAAAAGATGACACTCCCACCTTCATTTTAAATCACTCCTTACACTCCACCATTCCTACTCCCGCAAACATAAGCCCTACATCCGTGCTGTGCAAATTGTTATCCAAGAACTGTCTACTTTCACTTCACCAAAGAGGATATTCAGGTGGCCAACAAACATATAAAGAAATGCTCACAATCATTAGCTATTAGAGAGATGCAAATCAAAAGAATGAGATACCATCTTGCCCCAGCACTAGTAGCAAAGTTCAACAAGACACAAAATAACAAATGCTGGCGAGGATGCAGAGAGATTGGGACTCTCATACACTGCTGGTGGGACCGTAAAATGGTACAACCACTGTGGAAAGCAGTATAGCGATTCCTTAAAAAGTTGGAATTAGAAATACCATTTGACCCAGCCATTCCGTTACTAGGTATATATCTTAAAGAATTGAGACCCAGGACAAAAACAAATATACACACACCCATGTTCATCCCAGAACTATTTACGATAGCCAAAAGATGGAAACAACCTAGGTGTCCATCAGCTGAAGAATGGATAACCAAACTATGGTACATATACATAATGGAATACTATGCAACCTTAAAGAATAATGTAGAATCTGCAAAATATCACATAATGTGAATGAGCTTGGAAGACATTCCAAACCAAACCAAACTCACTGCTGTCAAATCAGATCTGACTCATAGTGAACCCTCCTTGGGCTTCTGAGGCAGTATCACTATGGAATTGGATTGCCCAAACTTCCCTCCAAGGAGTGGCAGTTGGGTTCTGGTTAACTGCCAGCTTCTGGTTAGCAGTCAAATACCTTAGGCACTACACCACCACAGCTCCTTGGGAGTACATTATGCTGAGAGAAATAAGTCAATCACAGAAGGGCAAATATTGTAGTAGACTGTTATTGTAAAAAGTCAAGGTAAGGTTTACATATGGAAGGAAACTTTCTTTGTTGGCTACCAGGGGTGAGAGGGGAGGGGAGGGAAAAGTGTTAGATAGGTAGAGATAAGTAGTGATTTGGGTGAAGAGAAGGGCAATGTACCAAATGTGAGTGACCATCACAGTGGCACTGAGGAAGAGGAAGACACAGAGAGGTATGTGGGAGGTACAGACAACAAAGATGAACCCTTTTGCACATACAGTACTGCGCTGTCAGTGAAGGCAAACATGGATATATGGGTAAATAGATGGGTGGACAGGCTGAACTATTAGGTATGTCTATGCAGGGGGGAGTGTGCCCAACTATATATAGAGTTGTTGTTGTTGTTGTTGTTATGTGCCATCGAGTCAAACCCGACTCATAGCGACCCCTCCTTGGGTTTCCAAGGCAGTATCACTACGGAAGTAGGTTGCCCAACCTTCCTTCCGAGGAGTGGCTGGTGGGTTTGAACTGCCAGCCGTCTGGTTAGCAGGCAAGTGTCTTAGCCACTATGCTACCAGAGCTCCCATATATATATATAGGGTTAGCAGACAATATTTCTACAAGTGTATTGGTACATTCTGTAAGAATGCCCAGGTATATGGTAGAGCTGACAAGGGACAAGATTGTAGTCACTTTTGGCCACAGCCAGCTACACAGAGGACTCAAGTAGTTGGACCTGTGGGCTCGGGACCATAGTCACAGGGGACATCAAGCTCAATTGGCATACCATACTACACAAAACATTGTTCTGCATCCTATTTTGGTGAGTAACAACTGGGATATTAAAAGCTTACAAGCAGCCATCTAGATGCAATGATGGGTCTCTCCTTGTCCAGAGCAAAAAAAAAAAAAAAAAAACGAAGGAAACCAAAGATTCATGGAAAAAAATTAGTCCAAGCAACTGGCACACTGTGGTAGTTATGTTTGTGTGTCAACTTGGCTGGGCCTGGTTGAATGGCTGGGCAGCTAGTGGTTGTTATTCTCCATGATGAGACTGGCAATCAACTCCATGGTGGTATCTACCACAAGTAGCTGAGTAGCTGCCTTTGGGTTGTGGTTTGCTTCCTGCACATAAGGAGAAGCCCTGGGAATGGTCTCTAGCTTATGGCATGCTTGGACCCTGCATGTAGCCATGTCATTGTTCAGCAGCCTGCCATGCTCTGCCGATTTTGGGACTTAAAATGGACTTAAATTAATGGCCTGTCGTGTGGTTTGGTAACATTGGGACTGTGCCTTTTTACTTGTCAACCTCAGGCTTCTCAGCCTCAGCAGCCAGCTGTTGTCTGAGTGAAGAAATGCCTCCAGCTCCAGTGGGCCAGGAGCTGGAGGCAGAGCGGGATCCCAAAGTTGAGGGGCTTTCACCTAGCCCCTAGAGCCTGGCACTGTGAACTTGGACTTAAAGCCTCCAAATTGTAAGAATAAACTCCTGTTTGTTAAGGGAATCCCATTTATGATATATTCTTGTCAGAGTGGCACTAGGTAACTACAACATACACTATGTGATCCTCAGCTTATAGGACTATGACAAGAAGAACTAGATGGTGCCTGGCTACCACTGTCAACCATTCGAAGGGGATCTATGTAGGAGATCCTGGATAAAGTGGGAGAACACTGTGGAACAAAACTCAAAATCATTTTGGGCGGGGGCGGGGGATCAGGTTTGCTGGTCTGATAGAGCCTGATGCAACCACTGAGACAATGGCCCCTAACTGCCCTTCAGGTCTGAAATTGAACCCACTTCTGTGACTTCCAGCCCAACAAAAGACAGGCATATGAGCTGAACATTTACATTAGGTAGATAGATACACTCCTTGGAGAGGACAATCATGGGAGAATAGAAGGGCTGTGTATGCACAGGGAGACAGCTCAGGGGGCAGGAGTATATGGAGAGAAGGACACAGGGAAGAGGTAATATGGGGAGGAAGCAGAGGGGAGCTGTTGCATTGTGCTAATTATAGTCAATGTCATGAGAGAAAGTATATGTGAATTGCTGTATGGAAAGTGAATTTGCTCTGTAAACTTTCACCCAAATCACAATTAAAAAAGAAAAAAGAACAGTCTACTTTTATATCTGGTCCACAAAAGAATAACTACAGAGATTGAGAGTAACCATTTAGAACTTGTACAGGAATTTGGCATTGGTGACTTTCTCACAACACAATGTTGCTGAACTCATATGGAGAGAAACAAGTGTCACTAGCTATGTGCACTACTCATTTGCTAGCACCACAGTGAGGTCCTTTCCTACAGAGGTCCTTCCCAAACTTTAATAAGCATATGACTCACTTGGGAAATCTTGTTAAAAGTACAAGTTCAAAGCAAACAAAAAAACAGCGAACAATGGTGCAAGTTCAGTAAATTTGGGCTGAGGCTGGAGATTCTGCACTTCTAACATACTCCTAAGTGATACTAATGCTGCTGGTCCATATATATATATCTCAATAGAAATGTTTTAGACAATTTTGTTATAAAATTTTCCCCAAACCTGTTGTGCTGTTTCATATGATTGTACATTGCAAAGGTTCTCCAAATATTACAAATCAAACCTTTGCACATACTATTGCCTGTTTAGAATTACTGCTGCTCACAAGCTGTGTAACCTTGGAAAAGTTAATTAACTTCTCTGTGCTGCAATTTCCTGATCTTTAAAACTGGCAGTAATAATCATAAGCACCTCCTAGGGTTATCATAAGGCTCAAAAGGGTAACTTCATGTTACAGTGCCAAGCACAGTGCTTGGCTTGTGTTAAGTTTTTTTTTTTTTCTTTCGTAAAAAATTTTATTTCGATCTTATCAACTTAGCAACCTCCTACATATCCTTAAAATTTCTATGCAAGTATCACATCTATGATGTTATCTTGATTTCCTCCTGTCCCAGAGAGAGCTAGCCACTCACTCTCATGTGTTCTTAATAGACTTTCTAATCTAATTGTACAACTGAGATAGTCATGACCAAATATCACTTAATTATGTACAAGCTTCTCTCCCACATCTCAGCATGAATTTGTTAAGACCTAAAGAACTTTCATTTGTTTTTGTATCCTTAACACTTAGAAAATGGCCTGTCAAAAAAAAAAAAAAAAAAAAACCTCTAAGTTGTTGATTTGCACTATTAATAATTGATCTTATGTAACTTTCTAGGTTGTATCAGGAACAAATGTTGTAAAATGTTACCATCAAAACCATGAAACACCATTATACTGTGTAGGGAAGATTTTCTCTTCCAAAGAAATAAAATCAATCACGAAGAATCATTTTTAAACACTATGTAAGACATAGGACTCTATGACAATTACAAATTATTTATTTTTGTGGTGAGACAAGAGAGGAGAAAAGGAACATGGGAGTTGTTTTTAACTAATATTCTTTGGGGATTCAATATTTGTCTATTTTTAGTTAACAATACTTAAATGTGTAAATTTTACCAATGTATTGATTAGTTACTCCAGCATTATAGATAAAAATGCCATACAACAAATAACCTTAGATTTTGTCCTTTATAAGGTTTTTGTTTTTTAAATGAATGTTGCAAAATGATGGCTTTGAGTGAAGCACAACTTCTAAACAACATGCAGGAGTAAACCTGAAACACTATCTTGCTACTCCACTGTGGGGTTACACACTGAAAGCTCAAGGAATTGTAGTTTTCTGAAGGGAAGTGGGGAGAAGTTAATAGTAATAAGAATCACAAGAGTGAAACCATGTACAACAATTTCCCTAGCTGTGTCTAACCACAGTTCCAGTATGTCACTTTGTCTGAGTCCTCTACTGCAACAGTGCAAATTGGCACAGATAGATTAATTTGAAACAGAGCTTTTCCAACCAGGAGACCTTCCTCACCTTACCTCTGTTTTTCAGTGGAGGGAGTGTAGGGTGTAGATCTTTATTACATTCATTCCGTTCTGTGCAGCATTCAATAGATCTTCTCTGATGAGGAATAGGAGTGTCCTATAATTGAAACAGCTTTTAGTACTTTTCCACTAAATTTCAGAGTTGCATAATCTAAATTTTAAGAAATTAGCACCATATAGAGAACTCGCATAAAAATTCTAAACATCTCGAAAAACATTTTCTATTAGGTAATTTCTTTCAAATTATCATGCACTATCTTAAGGCAACTTTTGCAATTTAACACAATTAGTATTATATTTTGAGTTAATGAAATTAGCAAAATTAGAATTTGAGCAAGATTATCTAATGGATCATTAAGCAAAAAGACAACAGCAAATGAAAAAGAATATTTAATTTTAAAATATAGGGAGATTTGGGCCAATGGGAATCAAATTATTTTCAAAGTTACTTAAAAAAAAAAAAAAGGCTAAAAGAAACAATTGACATTATTTTGCTTAGAATTTTGGACTGCAGCCATTCTGGGAAAAAAGTGCAATCAAGTTATCTTTCTTACCCGACACTGAAAATCTGAGCCTTCTAGTCCTAGACATCCAGAAGTGACCACAGGCATTCCAGAATCATCTTCTTCTATCATGGTGAAACAGTACCCGTCTGTACTAAAGAGCAAACAGGCAAAATAAGTATTGATGTGTGTGTGTGTGTGTCTGTCTGTCTCTAGGAGAAAAGAAAATTAATATTTATCATTTGTTACACTACAAATAGAAGAAAGTCAATGATTATTGCAGGTTGTAGTCCATTAACAGGATCCCCAAATTCCCTTTCCTGGAAGTAGATTGAATTGTCAAAAAGATTTATGCTTCCAAGTCTCATGGGATGGCAGAGCACGTGGCTACTGGGGTCTCCTGTTTCTGGGCCCTCCACTGGTTTGGACGCCTGCTGCCAGTATGGAGATTCACTGTTTACTGCAAACAAATGTCAGAGTGAAGACTAAGAAATTCAGATACGTGAAGTTGATTTCTATGGAAACCTTGTCATCCTCTGATGACAGTTGTGACAGCTTTTGTTGCTTGTAAGTTTGCACACACAAGACTGCCCTCACAGTGGGAAGGCCTGGAGTCAATGCAGTCATTCCAGATCTCTGCAAGTGGCAATGACATTTCCAGCATGAAAGATGAGGACAGTAGCCAAGAAAAAGCTAATTTCTCCCCAGTCCTCAGAGAACTGTGTGACAGATGCCAGTTCTGATTCAGAATATGAAAAGGGCATGCATTTTCTGAAGAAAATGTTTTAAGTACAAAACAAAACAAAGCAATGCTTGCAAAACTAATGCCAGAATTAGAAATCTTCCCCAGCTCATGTCCCTAGACGACATTCCCTACTAGTCCCCAGTTCACAATCAAAGACACTCCAAAGACACATCCCCAGATATTGCTTCCACAAGAAATCCTCAATGGAGAGCTCTTCCTTCTACCAGGTCAAGATCACAGATTCTGGGAGTTCCCCAGGACTCTGTCCACAGAGGAGGAGGACAAATACTTGGTGAGGAAGAGGAAGGCAGGGATGACTATATGAAGAAAGATGACATGGCCAGAAATCATCACCCAGGGCCCATGACCCTTCCTCATGAAATATGCCCAGTGGAAGAAATTATAGAGGAAGAGTAGATACAATCATTCATTGGAACTACCTTTCTTCAGTGTTGTCAGGAAACTATTAATGCCAAAATAAATTGCAGAAACGCAGAGTATTGGGGCATTCAAGGCCAGTTCTGTGGTCTCTGCCTTCAAAATGATGACGTCAAGGATGCCCTATTGGATCCCAACTGCCCTATCTGCCTATAGCAATCAATCTGTAACTGCACCTTCTGTAGGTGGCATGATGAATGGTGTGCAACTGGGGTCCTGGCACATTTGGCCAAATACCATGGAGCTTTGGGAATGTGCATGCTTACCTGAAAAATCTGAAACAGGCATTTGAATTGCAAGCATAATATCTGGAAGATTCACTACTTGCCTTGCACTTGGTCAAACCTCCTTGTTAAACTTTTCACTTTTGTCATTTGATTGAAATCCCAATTATGAATTTCGATGGTCATTTTGTTAGGTGCCATCAAGTTGGCTCCCACTCATAGAGACCCTATGTACAACAGAACAGAACACTGTCCGGTCCTGTTCCAGCCTCAAAATACTTGCTATACCTGAGCCCATCATTGCAGCCATTGTGTCAATCCATCTTGTTGAGGGCCTTCCCCTTTTTCATTGACCTTCTACTGTACCAAGCATGATATCCTTCTCCAGGGAATCGTCCTTTCTGACAACATGACCAAAGTAGGTCAAGTGAAGTCTGGCCATTCTCGTTCCCAAGGAGCATTCTGGCTGCACCTCTTCCAGAATAGATCTGTTTATTCTTCTGGTAGTCCATGGTATTTTCAGTATTCTTCACCAACACCAAAATTCAAAGACATCAACTTTTCTTTGGTCTTATTTATCACCCAGCTTTCACACATATATGAGATGATTAAAAATACCAAGGCTTAAGTTTGTCCACCTTAGTCTTCAAAGTGACATCTTTGCTCTTTAATACTTAAAAGAGATTTTTTTTTTTTTTTTTTTTGCCAAGCGCAATCTGATGTCTTGACTACTGCTTGCATGCATGTTGATTATAGATTCAAGTAAAATGAAATCCCTGACAACTTTAATTTTTCTCAATTAATCATGATGCTGCTTATGGGTCCAGTATAGGTGCCATTAGTAATTATATAGTTACTATATATTCTAATTACTAAACAACTATTTGGACACTTCATGGGTATCATATTCACATATCTAGACAAATAACTCTGTGAGGAAAGTAGTTCTGCTCTCATCTTGAATCTAAAGAAAGGAAGCAGAGACCTTGAGTAATTTCTAAAAGGCCAAACATCTAGTAAAAAGCAGAGAAGGATTTAAACACATGCAGGCAAATGCTTGTGGTGGATACTTGCTGTGAAGTACTGGGTTACACTTATCACCTATTTGGATAAGAGTAAGCACACAAACTTGAAAAAAGGTATGAAGGTAGGGATGACACAGCATAACAGCTGATGTGATTAAGATTCTTCCATATGGTAGTTCTGCTTCTTGGCTGGCCTGACACGATTAAGCTTTTGTTGTAAATTGTCTGGAATTGAGCTGGGGGTAGGCTAAAGATGGAAAAAAAAAAGAGGGGGGGGGGAGCTTTGGGAAGTAAAACCAGAAAACAAAGGACCAAAACTTCAAAATTGTGTTTGGTATTCTAGATTCAAAAAACATTCATCTTATGTAACTTAATCCTGTCAACAATGGGAAAGTAGCAATGTTATTATTTCTATTTTACAGATGAGGAAATTAAAGTTATGACAGCTCAATTAACCTATACATCAAACAAAAGAAACTCAGTGCTGTCAAGTGATTCCAACTCTTGGTGAGAGTAAAACTGAGATCATAAGGTTTTCTTGCCTATAATCTTTATGGAAACAAATCACCAGGCCTTTCTTCTGTGGCACCACTAGGTAGGTCTGAACCACCAAACTTCAGGTTGGCAGCAGGGAGCAAAGCTTACATTATATGGAGTTGCCATGACTCAGAAGTGACTCAACAGCAACAGACTTGGCTAATAAAATTATACATGGTTGCAAATCACTTACAGAGTCAAGCCTTGAATCAAGGGCCTCTAGATTTATTCAACCAATTTCCTACTATCTCCTTCTGGGGCTAAAAATGAAAATCAAGAATTGTTATATATAAATTTTTTACAAATAGACATTATTGTCTTCACAAACTTACGTGATGAATGCAGCAGATTCCCAAGGAAAGTCTTAAACCACTACTGCCATAGCCTAAGAAATTAAGTACTACACTATATATCCATCCTTTTATTATGCATATTTATGTTCAATGACCATGACAGTTATGACAATGTAGCCCAAAACATGCATGGGAAGAAAATTCTGAGAATGGTATTAGCCATGACTTGTGGGTTTGTCTTTTCTGCATTAGTATTAATTATTAGTAGCAGCATTCTTCCATACATTACCATTGGGGTATTGTGGGCACCCTCAGAATTATTTGCTTGGGTTACAAGCCTTGAGCAATCCAAAACACTTCAATTTACAAGAACCAGGACAAAAGTTCAAACATACTAATGAATGGAATAGGTGGGCCATGATGAATCTCTTTATTAAACTAAGATTAAATGTACTATTCACAAAAAACAAAAGGGGGGAACAACTCATCAATAAATGAATGGAGAAATAAAATGTGGTGTACTTACCACTTGACTGCTAACCAGGAAACTGGCGATTCAAACCCACCAGCCACTCCTCAGAAAGAAGATTGGGCAATCTACTTCTGTAGTGATACTGCCTTGGAAACCCAAGGAAGGGTTGTCATGAGTCAGGTCTGACTCAACGGCACATAACAACAACAACAACAACAACAACAACAACAACAACAACAACATACTTACCATGTTGCAAAAAGGACAAGGAGGCCACATGTTCTGACTTTCTCTAATCCCACAAGAGGAAGACAGAAGCACCATCAATAGCCCAAGGCCTATTCCTGTGAGGCCAGACATGCTGCCTCCCTCCAGCCCTTTCTCCAACGTTCCTCCCAAAGCACACACCACCTCTCTCCTGGGTTCGATAATTCGCTGCAGTGGCCACACAGAACTCTCACAGATTATGAGGTTTATTAGGGAAGCACCAGACTACAATTCAACTTCAGGAAAAACGCTCAGTTTCTCTCCCAGTCCACCATCTCTCAGCCAAGTCTCTCACAGTCTCTCCCCCAGCAGTGCATGTCCCTCAGTGTCTTACTCAGCAACGCGTGTCTCTTCCGTCTCTTTCCCAGCAACACGTGTCTCTTTCAGTAGCACGTGTCTCTTTCAGCAGCACATCTTCCTCAACCAGCAGTCAGAGAGAGTTCTGCCTCTAGGAGGCCTCCTTTTGAGCTTGGCAGAGGGGCCAAACCAACCAATCATAACAACAGAATTCTAAGCACCTGAGAGTGAGCCTCCCATAACATTGCATTGTGCCACGCCCAACAGAAATAACCCCGGTGGATAACATTTACAATCAGGAGCTCCTCAGTTGCTCATTCCACCACTGAGTTTACAATGACTTATGGGTAGAAAAGCCATACTAAGTAATTTACTACACTGCACAAGTGAATTTAGAGACCACCTCAAGAATAGATCTGGTACATTGAACAATAATGAGTGTAGATTACAAGAATTGTGGGATAACATCAAGAACATCACATATGAAGATAGCAAAGGTCATTAAAAAGGCAAGAAAAGACCAAAATGGATGTCAGAAGAGACTCTAAAATTTACTTTTGAATAGAGTAGCTAAAGCAAGTGGAAGAAATGATGAAATACAAGGGTGGTTCAGGAAAACAAAAGTAAAGTATTATAATGAAATGTCCAAAGACCTAGAGTTAGGAAACCAAATGTAAAGAACACACTCACCATTTCTCAAGTTGAAAGAAATGAAGAAAATCCAAGCCTCAAGTTGCAATATTGAAGGATTTTATGAGCAAGATATTGAACAAGGCAAGAGGTATCCAAGGAAGATAGAAGGAATACACAGTCAACAAACCCAAAAGAATTGGTTGGTATTCAACCATTTCAGGAG